TTGTATTATTATTTGGCGCGCTTTTCATTCAGTATAAGGTTTAATGTCTTTTTTAAAACGTTTATTTGCATGTAATAAAAAGAAAATTTGTTTAGTTTAGTGTAAGATCGAAATATATTTCACCTTGTGAACACCAAAAGTTCATATTTAACTCGTGGCTGCGCCACTCGTGAAATAAACATTTTGGTGCTCACTCGGTGAAATAAATTACGATCTTACACTGAACTAAACAAATATCCTCTATATATTTGTGGTTTGATTTAGGAATGGTTTTCAGGCCAGCAGGTAATACTTCTTCAACACAACAGATGCAATCAGACTATTGAGATATAAGACCCTGCAATATAACATTCTCCTCTGTTTTTAAAATCTCCTTTATCATATATATTACTAGATATAAGTTATTAAGTGATTTTTTAATAATTTGATGTTTAAATGAAAGTGAAAGAATTTTTTTCTATTTGGGAATTACCTGCATTTAATATAAACTAAAGTAAATGCTACCCAACAGCGGTTTATGCCAGAACATAATGGATAAAGCAGGAATTGTCAAATATTGTTGAATTCTTTCGAAAATCAAAGGGCTTAGTCTACTGAAAAGTGATATGCCTTAGCCTCTAAAAACGAAAATGAAAACAAAATAATTTTTAAAAAAAATGAATAAGATTCCAAATGCTGTCATTTAAAAAAACAAATTGATTTTCAATTCTAACTTTTTCCAAATTGATATTTATTGCAGAAAATGGAAAAGTTTTTTAGTCATACTGTTTACTGCAGTATATTTCGTCAAAGTGATAATGTACTGTAACACCGCTAATGCAGCACCGATTAAATGTGCTTTAGTGCCATCCCCTTGTAAAAATAAGTAAAAATGTCAGACTTACGAAAGAAATGAGGACTAGCGGGAAAAAAAATGACAGCATATTTTCTTCAATGCTAAATTTTGTAAAGAGAATGGAGAAGTCAATATGGAATTGCATCGAAGATGATAGCAAATATCATTGTTTTTAGTAAAAAAAACAACTTTTAATCATAGTGGACTTCACAGTAAACTTTACAGAAATGTTACTTCTGTCATGGAAAAGTGAGCCTCTCAAAATTTTAAAAAGGAAAACAATTAAATTTGAAATCTGGTAGTGAACAGTCTGATTTCTTAAGAAATTAAGACGTTGAAAACTAATTGCTTAAAAAAATTAGCTGGAGCCCTGATCATAAAGATCTGATTGTGTCTGTAGTGTTCATTCTGTTGAAATATTTTCTGTTGGTTTTTTGATTGATTTTTATTGTGTTACTTTTTCTTAGTTTGGATTGAATTCCAGTTTTCATCTTTAGCAACAAAAACTGTTTTGTTGTTACTTTGAATCTGTAAAACAATTATTACATGTATATATCTGGCAGGAGTTGTATATATCTCCTCCATGTTTTAAAGACATAGTCATCACTATATCGATGTCCATAATATGGAATTAATTAGCCATGATGTTTTTCCAGAGAAACACCTCAATGTGTCATGCAATGAGTTGAAGTTTATAGATGCCTGAGCATACACATTCATTGCTATAATTTATTAAACAAAAACAAAAATGAGCTTAAAGTTGATGTTAGTAGGTGCAAAATATGCAATTTTCAGGAAAAGGATCAATTCTGTTTTTTACTAGTGATGTTCTCTGTAATTATTTGGTAAAAGCAGATTCAGTTTCATAATGTATAAACCAGTTTGTTGTAAAAAAAAATCTGCTATTATTTGTTATTTCAAGAAATGGAAATTTTTTATCATCATGATAACATTTCAGGTATGATGAGAGGAGGTATGATGGGTGGGCGTGGTGGAGGTCCGCCCCCTGGCATGAGAGGACCACCCCCAGGAATGATGAGAGGACAAGGTATAAAACTTGAAATATTAAATATTTAGTTCAACTTTTAAGATTTTAATACTTTGCTACTGTGATATTGTTTTATTTGTCACCTCAGTGCAGTAACAGGTTAAGTCCTTCTACATTTTTAATAGGAGTTAACTAGTTACTGCACTTAGGTGACATATTGTGATATTGTTGTACATTACATTCTAGAAAATTTGGTGTAGAATTTTTCATTTATTCTAAGTTAGTGTTTGTCTGATCATGCAAGACTTTACATATTAAATAAATATTGAAAAACATCTGGGTAAAGTACAGAATTCAATACTGTTTAACTTTTCACAACAGTCACAGTATTCATAACACATATAATATTTTTGATGATGATGTCATTCATTATGTAAAGTGGACATCCTTTAAATTTAAGGGAACAGAATAGCCATGAGGTATCATTATAACAGAATCCTTTGATATTTTGAATTATTGTTTAGATACCAGTATTTGTTGCAACTTTTGGTTAATGTGTATAAATATTTTGAATTGTTTCAGGACCAAGATTCTGAGCTGTTTACAACTAGATGTTGTTAATGTATATTCCATGTGTAATAAAAAAAGACAATTGTACAGAAAAGGCAGCAGGATGTTAACTTAAATAAGAAGAACAAAATTTGCAGCTTGGAATTCAGACTGTGAAATGGGATATAAGGGTTTGCCGGGGTGGGTGGGGTAAACATCTGAAGTGTTTTCTTATTAGAATAGCATTATGCCCCTATTGCAAATCATAAACAGCTTTGTTTTTTTAACTAACAATTCTGTTAAGCTGTTCCAAATCTGAAATGAATGTTACTATAGCAGTTTCTCCAAGCATTGTTTGCTGCCCAAATTTTTTATCATTTTCATATTGTGCATTATCAGATAACGATTTTTGTACTGAATTATAAGAAGTTAATGATGTGACACTACCTGTAAGATGATGTTGAGTGTATGCAAATTACTCTTGATTCTGAAATACAGAAAAATGTAGTGTAAGAGGGTCATTTTTCAACACATTTTCATTTCATTTTATTCATTGTTTTAAACATTTATGTATCGTGAAATCATGTCATTAAAAGTTGATTTTATATGATTTGAGTTTTCTGTTTTCTTGTTTGCTGAAAATGAAATAACTGGCATTGAACTTTGTTGCAGTCAAATCTTAGAAACTATAAATGGTATTCAGATTATAACCTCTTGAAGATGAACTTGAAGGCAATGAGCGTTGAATTCTTACATGTTTTTCAGTGTGCTACATATAGAATAAAGAGCTTGTAACTGTATTTCATGCTAAAACAGCAATATAATGTATATTTCGTCACATTCTGTTCCTTCTTTTGCTTTCAAACTTCTACTTATATGCACAAAGGTTACCGGTCGTATTAAGGTATGGATTTTGTATGTCCGTCCATTAGCCACAGCATCGTCCGATCAAAAAGATGGTAAGGACCTGTAGATTACCATTATTCAATTTCAGATCAAGATTAGTTGCACTTAAATCTCTCAGTCTTGGAGAAAAGAAGCCCAGATTTGTGAAAATTGGTAGAGACCTTGTCTATAATCAGTAGATTACCCCTATTGATTTTGAGACCAAGGTTACTGTGGCATAGTATTAAATTCTTGTCTGCTCAGTAACTTGAAGGGTAAGCCTGAGGTTGTCAAACACTGTACATGGCCTATTGATTATAATGCAGGATCAAAGTGACGCCTAGTAGAAGATCCTTATGAGCAAGAAATAAGCCGAAAGTTGTAAGAAATTAGGAAGACATCGCCTATGGTGACAGTGTGGAATCCTTGTCCGATTAAAAATTAAGAGGCTCTAAATTGTTCAAAAGTTATTGCAAACCTGTTTTGGTAACTGATTTTTTTAAAATAAGTAAACATTATGACCATCTGATATTTTGAGGAATGAGTGTCTGCTTAAGCTCCACATTTGCAACGTGTTCAGCAAAATCGTCAATGAACTTGTAAGTGCCAAGAAACTGTTTATTGGATTTGCGCCTTTAAAATTAAGGAAGAGCATAAAGAAAAATAGATTTTCGTTATATTTTAAAAAATATTACATGTACATCTGTTTACTCCCGTCTTTCATAACATTTGTATTAAGTAACTATGGCACCCTCAAAAACTTATAAATGTTCCTGCATTGTTTACTTGTTTCTTCTTATATTCAACGATTGTAACTCTTTGTCTTTGACAAGTCTCTTGGAATACCTCCAAGATCTGTTCATTCTTTGATGCAAGTGTTACCAGGGAAATGAATAACTTGTGGTATGACGAAACATTTGTGCCAAAGAATACCAAAGATGTAAATGTTGATATCTTTATGATTGTAACATACAGTAACACTTTTTGCCTTGGTGTACATGTGTATTTTTTTTTTTTTTTTTTTTTAGTTACGAGTCTTTGTTTAGAAATATTTATTTTTAGCTCGATAACTTGCAACTTACATTAATGACTTTCGACTCCGCTTCCTAGAACTAACTAGTACTGGCGTCATATGAAGAATCTTGGTCGTTATATACCTCGTTCAAGTACTTGTTCTGCACATCGAAGATATTAGGGCAGTATCACCAGAAGCGAGCAGTGAGATTCTGACCCTAGAACAAAAATATCTGAGAATTTTGCTTGTCGTTATTTCATTTCCCCCCCGAGTCCAAAATATCCGTATCATATTATACTCAATCAAGCCTCTTATTTTGGCGACAACGCCTTATTTTTCTACATGATGCATATAATGGTCTCGCTGGCCTCCCGTGAAACATAAAAAAATAGACTAGCATTTCATACATATATTAAGTATCATTCAGTGAATTACCGAATGTCACCTTTTGGCAGATAACAACCTTTTAAGGACATGAATGGTGACAAGTCCGGGATCCGTAAGTAGGGCCTGAAAGGGAGGGTGGACCCTCATTAAGGCTAGAATTCAATATCGGTATCAAACCCCTGACGGTTTTAAAAAGTTTACGAAATAAATATATCAACATATGTTGTTGTGTCTTCAAATTTTAGACTGTATCACATAACATATACTAGAGTTCTTCAATAGCGCATGAATACGTGCATGTTCTTTTCACGGTCTGTAGATTAATAAAAATACGAAATACAATAATTAATACTAGACCTTATACCTTTTCCCTTTAACAATGACTCTAACAAACCGTTTTTCAATTTTCATAAATGTTGTTTTATTTACAACTGAGGAAAAAGCGATGTATTCCTAATATACATGTATTATGTAGAAAACTCGTATGAGAGATATTTGAAAGACAAATTATCTTTTTTTCTAAGACATTTAGATTGTTATGTATCATTACCTAATTTACAGTGTGGCAATACCACGTGACATTGACGTCATTTTCGGCATCATTTCCAAGACAAATGTTGCTCGATTCGGAAAAGAAAATAGCCGTAAATATTTTATTTCTGTACCAATTTCTTTGAGATATGCACCAGTCTACGGGGAAAAATATAAGCTTTCCATAGAATATTGGATCTTCGTCAGTATATAAGCCGTTTTATCAAACACTTTGCCTAACCTTGGAAGTTGCTTGTATTAGAGCGGGCTTCAGTTGCAAGCTTTTTCGTTTTCTGGCGTTACCTGGTCTACGCCATAATTAAAAAGTCAGGTTTACATCAACTGGGAGTACGGAAGGCAAAACTCTACCTAAATATGTTCATATTTTTATTATGAATGACATAAATCTTACATTTTTCTTCAATTGTCAATTCTGGCACCAGTTCCAAGTCGAAAAAAAGGACTACAGTTTAAAGTCGATTTTAGAATCCGTTGCAAATGCGAAGCAACATGCCTACCGTTCTCTTTCTACAATTTAGTTTTTCATTGTTGATCTTTCATAGAGAGATTGTGAAAAATCTGATTGTTCCTTAAAGCAACAACACTTACTTGTATCGCAATAGTGCACGTCAAATCACGTAGATTTAGTCCTGTCGGAAAATAATGTTTGGTTTCGTTTTGAAGATGTTTAAAGTATTGCTCATCTTATCCTATGTAGTTAAATGTGTTTTATTCTATTTCACAATGGCGAAATTGATAAGAAATATATGTGCTCTCAGTGAGAGAAAGAGTTAATATAAAAACACTTTTGTATGATATGGAAAGGGTAACACTTTAACGCGAGTGTTGTTAAGGTAAAGGTATTTTTTCAGTTTATTCTGACAAACACTGACACTCGTGAATGTGACGAACAGGTTCTTCTGTCCTCAAAAGAGAGACTTTTAAAAGGTATATATTTTTCTGGAATTATTGTATAATAAAGTTCTATAGAGTTTGATAAACTAAAACACAATTAGAACTTGTAAATCTGATAGAATTGTTACTTAGTTGCATTACTTATAATTCTCTATTTATCAAAAAGACCCAAAATAGCCATGAATAAGAACGAGAATGGACGCCATGTGGAGTAAACAAAGTAGAAAATAGTTAACAGATAAATGATTTTACAAACCAACATCCATCGATCACAATCAAATTTCTTGAAACAAAACATTCAACAAGACGGAAATAACAATGAATGATTATCAATAATTATATAAATATTTACATTAACATCTGTAATAGCAACATCGGCAAGAATATGACTGGGGTCCATATGCCACTGATGCGTCCATTGAATAATTGATAGCTAACATAATCTTAGTAAAATTACGATTACATTTGAAGAGTAATTTCAATTCTTATCCTTCAACTTTCAAATGACTTACTTCTTTATTTACATATCAGATAATTCACTTATTTAGTATATGCGTCACGTTTATCATGTTTTAGATTTTAATGTGCAATCCTTTTTTAAATCTTAAAATGCTACAAAAAGCCTGTTGAGGACATTTGCAGGTCATGCCGCGTGCAATAATCCATGCATTTACAGCCAATGGCCACATCGATAAGAAATAGTCCCAAATAGCCCTATCGTTTTTATTCAGTTGAAAGAGACATTATTGTTAAAAAAGTTCTACTCGATTTAAATGTTTTCAAACCACAAATATTCCGTTCCCTTCCTCTCTTTACAATGTATATTGGTTAGCTCTCTGATAAAGCTTAGTTGACTGATATAATTAACTAAATTTGTCAGATATGCAGTTCATCAACAGAAATAAATGCAATTATAAAATAGATAGTGTTTAATAGTGTTCTTAAGTTAACGAAGTTATATCCAGTTCACGAAAACAGTTACCGTGGGTATGAAAATAGGATATAAAAATATTTTTTTATCAACGAGTGCCACTGTGTTAAAAAGCTTAATCTATCATACTAAAAGATTGCTACAGGTTCTTTATATATATATACAAAGGCTCTTTACAAAAGAATAACATTTGACTTTAAAATTGCCGCGTCGAGGCGTAACCCTATTTACAGCGTACAATCGAAGTGATCCTGAATGTGCACGTTCATTGGACAGGCTAGCTAAGTCAATCAGAGCCTGAAACATTTTCAATTTTGCCGTTTTAGGGGAAATTTAGGGTTTCTGTTTTCTATTCCACGTTTAGTATTGCTACATGACACAAATAAATGTTTCATAATCATTACCTTGAAAGAACAATGATTAAAGAGCAAATCAATTTCTTTACAAATACAGTACAGACAACAATTTTACTACTTTTAAAATCACTTAAATATCGCAGCGAGTAAAAATCATTTAAATATTCATTTGTGTTTATGTAAATCGTATAGAAAATAAAATGTTTTTCATGGTTAACATAATTATAGAAAGAGAACGGTAGGCATGTTGCTTCGCATTTGCAACGGATTCTAAAATCGGCTTTAAACTGTAGTCCTTTTTTTCGACTTGGAACTGGTGCCAGAATTGACAATTGAAGAAAAATGTAAGATTTATGTCATTCATAATAAAAATATGAACATATTTAGGTAGAGTTTTGCCTTCCGTACTCCCGGTTGATGTAAACCTGACTTTTTAATCATGGCGTAGACCAGGTAACGCCAGAAAACGAAATAGCTTGCAACTGAAGCCCGCTCTAATACAAGCAACTTCCAAGGTTAGGCAAAGTGTTTGATAAAACGGCTTATAAACTGACGAAGATCCAATATTCTATGGAAAGCTTATATTTTTC